AGTTTTAAATGGACAAGCAAGTGAAAACACCTAGATTGCTTGCCTGGACAAAGAATTAATCAGGCTGAGGTATCACAGGAAGTCAAACTGATTTCTTCCATCTCAGAGAAGAAGGAATCAACTGCACAGTTCAGATGAAAAGACTTCTTAATTAATCTGCTGATCTTGTGAATGTTTAATTAAACCCAGATACAGGTACAGGAGATAAGTTAAAAAGCAAATGCCATGGTAACAATTGTATTTTTTAAACAGGTACCTAAAACACACTGAGATCATGATAATAAGCATTAATTATATTTCCAAAATTCATAACTTGGTCTAAAATATTGCACCAGATAATGATAGGCTGGGTATGTTTGTATTGCTTGAAACAATTATGATTTAATGGAAAGCCAGCAAACGAATTGAGGGAGGGAGGGCTCTGAAACACAACTGGCTCTAGATAGCAGAAGTGGCTAGAGATAATTCATAGCCAAAAATAGCCCATTTTTAAAAAGTATACAATGGATTAGGAAAGTATTATAGAAATATAAGGGAAAATATCAGATCTGTTGTGCAGTATCTTTGCAATAGAATTCCTTGTCAGTGTGACCATTCATTCATTCAAAAATTCTGACTGTCTTCAGAGACACACATTTCTCTCTTTCAAGACTTACTATCTAGCTTTCTGTAACCTAGATTCACAAGAGGATTTAATTACAACTCCCTTTATTCCTGACCACCAGTCAGGTTTGTTAGAATTGATGGGAGCCCAAGCTAGAAAACAAATTACAAAAGAGTCTAGTTTGGGGAAGCCTGATCTAAATCCTGAATTCCTCAGTTGATTGGTCAAAGTATGAAATAGTACCACAATACTCTTTAAAACTCTTTAAAGACTGTAAAAACCCTGTAAAAAGAGTCTGGAAATAAAAGAAAATAGGGGATAAAATAAAACTGGCGTCAGTCATTGATTCAAAGTTGAAACAGCTGCTTACTCTCAGAAGCCTTGAATCAATGGAGCAATAACCATTAGGTTATTATTAGCAGAATCAAGAAACAGGAATTTGGCCTTATGACAATCACTTCCACATTTTTCCCATAGTAGTAGCAGTCCATTTATTTTTATTTTTTTTAAGACACTCACTGACAAAAGGGTCAAAGGATCACAACAACCCACGGAAGAGTTGGAGATGAAGTTAACTGTGAGCAGTTTGGAAAGGAAAAGGAGGAATAGATAATAGCAGATAACTGTAATGCAGCAGGAAACATTTAGAATTTTCTGTAACAGCTCAAGGCATCTAGTATATATAGATTACATAATCATCATTGCCATATGTATGTAGGCCACTGCTTTCATATACAAACAAACCCCAAACCACTCCAAAATGGACAGAAACTATTATTATCCTCGGGAGTACTATTTTATTTATATTTTATATTTCTTAATTGCCCATGTCCCTTACTCTAGGCAGTGTACAATATCATCAATAAAATTAAAAATTAAAATTAAAATAATTTAGGATTAAAAGTTTTAAAATTGTAAAACCATATTATTAAAAAATCTATATATATATTTAGTGTCACAACCCCTGGTAAGCCCCAATTATGGGAGGAAGCTAACTGCTTCCATCATCTGTCAATCGGCTTGTCACAAGAGTCCATCACGACAGAAACCCAATATTTTTACTGTTGCCTACTGTTGCCTGGAATCATTCATATATATATGAATGATTCCATTAAAGATGCCACTGCTGATGGCAGCCTCGGTGAAATGTCTTTAGTAGTTCTGATTTATATGTACACTGTGAGCTTATGCACCGGAGACAAATTTGTGTGTTCAATCACACTGGTCCAATAAAGAATGATTTGATTCTATTCCATTCCATACCAAACATTTCAGAAGGTAAAGAATTCCAAGATGGGAGATTAGCAGTTATTAATACAGGTGTTGGGACGGGGTTCTTATGAGCCCTCTCAAGACCCATGATTGTATGGGTTTCTGTGTTCCTCACCACAAGCCTACAAAGAAGGTCAAAAGATGGGATGTCTCCCATTGCAGTAACAGTGGCAGAAAATCTGTCTTTCTTGAAAATTTTTAACTGATGGGGTCTGTAGAATTGGACCTAGAAGCAAACTGGCACCTAGCTCAACTTGTGGAGCAAAGGTGTTATATATGCCCTTTCTTAGGCACTTAGTATGGCTCATGTGGCTGCATTCTGCACCAGGTGAAGCTTCTGGATACTTTTCAAGGGTAGTTCCATAGAGAGCATGTTGCAATAGTCCAATTGCGAGATGACCAGGGCATGAATAACTAAGCAGAGGGCTTCCCTGTCCAGGAAGGGACATGACTGGCACACAATGCAAAGTTGGACAAACACCCTCCTGGTCACAGTTGCCCTCTGCTCTTCAAGCAGGAGCTGTGAATCCAAAAGGACACACACACACCCAGTTATATATCTGGTCTGAGGTAATGCAACCCTATCCAGGACCAAAATTGATAAACTCCTAGATAGGGGCCTATCAACTGCCACCCTGTCTTACTAGATTTCAGTTGAAGTGTGCTGTTCTCCTTCTAGAGTCCCACAGACTTCTGGCACCATAAAAAGGTGTCCACTTCATCATTCACTTCAGCTGGGATGGAAATATATAGCTGGGTATCATCAGCTTATTGGTGAAACTTTGTCCTATGGTGATGAATGATCTTGCCCAGCAGTTTCATGTTGATGTTAAAGAGGAGAAGAGAATACATTGAGCCCTGTGGCACCATACAAAGAAGGGGCTGTGAGCAGGATCTCTTGGTCCCTATTAACCCCAATTGGGACTAGCCTTGGATGTAGGAGGTGAACCAGCAAAAAACTGTACTCCCCTCCCCCAACTCCTTAAGTTGACCTAAAAAAAATGCCATGGTTGATATTATTGAAAGCCACTAGCAGATCAAGAAGAGCAAGAATGGATGTCCCCAATGGAGTTTCGGTCCTGTGGTTGGGCCAGGAACTGAAAAGGATCCAGATGCAGAATGTGGCTTATAGATAGACAAGAAGCACAAAAGCAAAAGGGGTGTTGTAATGGCAGAGTTAAATCAAGACAAAGTGCAAAAACAAAACAAAACACCAATTTTTGCTGTTACATTACGATAAAAGCTTAAAAGAAATTTAAAGATTAAGAACAACTGGCCTGAGCTGAGCAAGAAGATGCAAAAGGGAACTCTGAGTTATGACTGAAACTATGGCTTTAATTAGACTCTGCTGTAGTGTACAAGGAACTATTAAAATCATCAGAAAGACTGTGATCACTCATTTAACATTTTATGAAACGTTTCCAAAGTTTTCTTTTTCTGGAGGAGGAGGAGAAGAATACAGGAAATGACTTAGTGTTAATATTAAATCCAAATGCCCAGGGATTCTATAGTATAAAGTCATTTATTGTCACATATACTTTAAACTTGCTTTTGAGCATTAAAATCAAAGTAAAGTTTAATTTTAAAAAGCTCAACCTCTCTCCCCAAATTGCATTTATTAGATAAGAAATGAAAACAACAAATAAGATAATAAAACTAATAGCAGCAGATAAAATTTTAAGTCAATCCACAGACACTAAAATTAAATAAGTATAGAAGTCAAGAATATATTCTTTTAATTGTCATGAAGACCAGCCAACACTTATGATTAAGAAATATGCATTTTTTCCACAAAAAGGAGTGACAAAAGAAAAGCTTCCCTTCTTAAACTCACAGTCTTTACCAGAGAACCAAAAATTGGATGCTGATTATAAAGAACAGCAGAAGTTCCACTGTTCCACTGTTGTTAATTTAAATACTAGAAAACCTGTGAAGTCTCCACAAGACTCCATTCTTGCCACTCATTAGTGCAGAGAATCACAGCTTATTAATTGGAATATCGTCAGAAGTACCAGAAAAAATCATGAACTTGCTAATTGGTCTCAGACCAATAGTATAGAAGACTTCAGGTGAAGTAGCAACCTTTCCTTTGTTTAGACTCTTATCACATATGACTGGAAGTCAAGAATGGCAATGTCGAGCCCAAACCTGGCTGTAAGATCACAAAGCATGACTCCTGTGCTATAAAATGTTGAAACTTTAATTTCATCCTGTGAAAATCTCTCAGTGACATCAGACCATCTTGATTACAAAAGAATTGTAGAAATGCCTGTATGAATCAATTATATTTTATCTCATTCAGTTTGCCTTGTTTTCATTTTGCATCAAGTATTGTTATTTTAGACGCTACATAAAAATATCCACATTTTTGTATCTATTTCTCCTAAACTTCATTTTTCCCAGTTTATAATATGGCAGGATAGTCACATCATTTTCATAAGATTCAGCATACAAATTCATGGCTTTGTGCAAATCACAAGGCTGTCCATTGGCTTGGTCAATTAAAAATACTTAATATAATTGATGATCTGCTGAGGCCCTACCACAGCTCATCTAATGAGAAAAAAATATTTTGGGGGGAACAAACCATATGTTGGGCAAATTTTGATGAGATAGCTTAAAATAAACAGCTGGTGAACCACAACTAACAAATGTTTTTAAAATTAATCCAATTTTTTTTAATTTAGTGCTGTAATATATTTTTCTACTTCACAATTTCTGCTTAATAGTAGTTTATAAAATGAGTACTATTTTTCAGTACTTATTTTAATTCCAGATTTTTAAAATGGTTTTTCAATATATTAAGCTATTTTTGTCAAAGCCTTTGCATTATCTAAATACAACAATACATTAATACCTTATTATTGTTATTTAAAACTTTGTTTTAAATAATTTTGACATCTTTGTTATCTCCTTGGTTTTATTCATCTGTCCAATGTAATGAAATAAAGACTCAAAAATAAAATTGCTATTTTAACAATTGGTAAAAACATTTTTAATGGCAGTAAAGAACAATTAGGCATCTTGAAGAATCAAAGATCCTACATACCTATGCAAGAAAAAAAAGCACCTCTTTAAATTCCTGTAATTCCACAAATCCATCAGATTGTATTTACATTCTCACCTGCTGGGTAGCGTTCTATAACCGGCCAGTTGTCCACCTGTAATGTGGCATTGCCACCACTTCTTGTAAAACGTACTACATGGTATTTCCCATCATTAATGATTGCGTTGACTTCTTCAATTGCGATATCATCTGTTCCAACATTAAATTTAACACCAATTTTTCCTTGGTGCTGTGAAGAAAAGCCAGAAACAATGGAAGATGTTAGTAGTTATTTTTAAAAAGTTACTCTACACATTGAGTTGCAGTGCTTTATCCAGTTTACCCTTTGAAAGGATACTTCTCCTCAGTTTTAATCTTTAGAAGGATAGCATAGGTAACATTGATCTTCCTCAAAAGTTCTATACAATTTTCTTCCCTCCTACTATTGTCAATTTTCTTCTAGAAGAGATCTCTGAAGGGCAAGGGAAGAAATTACATGAGCACTATTTAAAGAAATCTGCTCAAATGGACTTTTTCCTCCCTCCCTATGGGAATAATCCTAGAACAGTAATTTTATTGTTAAGTAACAAATATCCCAAATAAAATTCCAGAACCAACAGAATGATCAACATTAGAATTCTCAATCAGTATTTAAATGTAGTATTGTCCTGGGTGGATAATATTGATGAGGCAGAAACTGCTCTATATCACAGCTAGAACATATACATTATTCAATGTAGCACATGGAAATTTACCAACCAACTGAACTAAGGAAAGAACAATCCCTAATCTGAAATACCAGGAAGGACAAACTGGTTTCAGATCTAATTAGTCCCACTTCCCATAAAATTATAGTAGCAGTATTGGCAATTAGGTAGTTTTATCTGTTCAAAGCATTGCCACATTGCTCAGGCAACAATTCACTCCAAATATTCTTATCTATTTTAATTATTATGAAAAAAAGGACTCATAACTGGGAATTTACTGCTTAATGGAGTAGCTTGCTGTGTTCATTTAAAAAATACAGACTAAAGCAATTATTGATTTTTGTTTCCATCAAAGACAAGTGAAATGCTCTTTTTCTGAATAATCATTCTGATAAAACTGAGGGTAGAAAGGAGCAAACTGAAAAGCGAGAAGAAAAAAGGAGACAGTAATAGTACTAGTGGTAATAATAATAATAGTTAACAGTAGAACAACTGACTGAATAAACTTAATTGCTGCACCTTTTGAAAAGCCCCAGATTCAAAAACAAATAGAAAATCACTTATTTTGTGTCATTTTTTATACTATATTTCAGATCTATATTGAGAAACCTCCTCAAAGAAGCATTAACAACTTCAGTGCTTTCTACCAGCAGCCTTAATTGTAAGATTAGGCAGAGATGGGGATGTGCATGTTTGACTACATCCCTCAGTTAAACATAACCCTCTTTAAAGGAACTGTAAATTTGTTGGGTGAATTGCATAGACTTCCTTATCATATACAGACTGTGGCCACAGAGCACAGCTAGAATTATCCCCAGGGAGATTGGCTAAGTTCAGAACCACCATCTTGCCTCGGGGTTTAACTTGAGAACAATGGGAGAGAGCCTGAGGTGTTTATGAGGATTTTCATTGACCTGGCATATATAATATTAGGTTGGAGTAGGGGTCACCCGTTCTTCCTTCACGAGGGGAAAAAATAATTTAAAAGAAAAGCCATTTTAAAACCTGCTTAGAAAAGATGACAGGAAAAAAAACAACACAGAAACAATTTTTTTCTAGGTAAACAAATTCCAAAGCAAAAAAAAAATGAGATTGTGGATTCTTCTAAACTCTTTCAGCAACTGAAGTGACAAATTGTGCAATTCATGTGTTTTAATCACCCTCTTACTCAGCTATTCATATTCATCAGAAAACGTAAAAACAAACAAACAAAAAATGTAATTGCTCTGGCACTGTAAGCAATCATCCCTTTTCATGAATTATTAAATATTTAAGAACTTCCCCAGAGGCATGTGACTATAAAATACATATACTTTATTCAACTTTTTTGCTCCAAAATCAAATGCTTTTGAAATCCATCCAATTTTGATGATGTTCTTTTATTTCAGTATTCATCCATGTCTTTCCTACTTGCTTCCACTTGCTCCTATATAACATTTTATAAACAGAAAAAAGAAGCAAAACACCTTTAAAAATTAAGCAGGTGCATGCAAATCATAGTAACTAGATGCATTTACATGCTTTTATGTGGCAGAACTCACTACTTCAAAAACTGGCAACACAAACAACAATATTGAATATCACAGGAAGATTTAAAAAATGCACATGAATGCAAGAGAGCAGAAAACATGGAAACTTTGTTTCTCTGACCCAGTTTTCATTTATTTGTCACCATACAATTCTGATAATACAAAACCGTAGGTCGATGTAGCCATTCTATGGTCAGTCCTTTCTAAGTGCTAGAACTGTAGCTATATTAACCATTTAGTGATTATATACTAATCACGATGGCATAATTCTGTTACGTAACTAATCAGATTGACTATACTACAAGAGTGTCAATAGAAGTCTCCTATTATTTGATTTCTGTTATCTCTTCTCCAGCACTGAACTAGTAAGGTAGGAACAAAATTGCTTAAGCTATCTGGACAACCACTAACTCTTTGAAACTTTCTGTATTATAGCTGCAATGCCCCCCAAAAGGGAGTATTTCTAGGTTACTTAAGAATATATTCCCTTTCATTGACATAGTGAATCAAAATATTACATCACTTTTCAGTGCTCAAAGCATTATCAAGTGGAGGGCTCTTTGATAGCCTATATGAGATTAGATAAATGTATGCTTCAGAAGTAAATTTCAATCCAAATATCTAGTTTTTGAAGAATTCTGACATTCCTTTAAGAAAGTTGAGAATTTTATAGGATGTTTTTGTATGTCTTAATTACACACTGTGCAGCAAGTCCCTACAGCAGAACCTGCTATCTTTGAATAGATGCATTCTTATATCCTGCCTACCCCATCTTTGCACAAAGGCCCACCCTAACTGAAATCAGGGATTCACAATTCACAAAGACTAGGATTTTCACTTGTGTTGGGCTCTCACAAGGCTAAAATTTTAGGCATATGTGAGTGATACCACATTTTATTGTAAAGCGTTGTATTAAACTTTGAAGAGAACTTAAAAAACCCTCAACCAAAAATTATGTTAATATTGCCACTGCTTCTGTATTCAGATTACATTAGTGTTTATAATACAATTCAATATCAAGATTGTTTAACACCAAATCTCTATCTTTGTAATGTGCTTTAAAAGAAATTTAGTTATCCAGTCCATTGAAAGACTATAAGAAGTTCTACAACTGATAATTCAGTTATCATTTAAAGCCATTTGGTTTTGGTTTAGGGTAACAATAGAGTTACTATTATAAGGAAATCTCATTAAAATTTGCATGTAAAAAACAGTAAAAGCAGAAGTAGCATCCAGGAAGCAGTGTTCTGTTTTGGTACTTTCCTTCTGGAATGCGATCCAAAATTACTTTTAATTACAGAAATGCTACTTTAATGAACCGAAGAGGACCTGGAACTCTATTATGTTTCTTTAATATTAAGAACAAAGGAGAATATCTTCCCTTTTGGTGAGAAAATCCAAGTAGCCCAAAATATACTTATTATGTAAAAATACATGAAAAACAAGTCTAAAGTAGATGGCCAGATGGAGTGTACTGATCAAATGTATCACTGCTATTTTTTCTTCTAATCAAGAAAATGTAAAAGAGTGTGACTTCAAAACATTCCAATTTCAAACGGATCATTTCGAATCTCCTTATTGGGGGGGACGGGACTTGCCTGTTTTGAAAGTTCTGACCTGCAACTGGCCTACTGTTTGGCGAGTTATGATTTGATAAGCCTTTTTCCAAACTTTTCTTCCCAAATCTGATCAACACAAAGTGTGTCTTTGCTGCAAAGAAGATTTAGATTCAGAGAGTGAAGTGTTGAAGACAAAACTGCATTTAAGCACTTGGTCACATGTGGAAGTATACTACCTGTCTGCCTGTTTAAGTTAAAACCATTTGATCTAATTAACTAAGAAGGAATTAACATGGAAGGTGGATCATATATATGTATGTATGTATGTATGTATGTATGTATGTATGTTTGGCAGACTGTAATGTAAATATTTAGGTATGTGCATATTTGGTTCCTCATTCATGTGTTGTTAATCCTGCTTATGTTGTAAAGGTACAGATTTCCCCCAAAAGTGTTGATTTAGAGTGATTTGTAGGGTTTGGTATGAGCCGAGGTGGCTCAGTGGTTCGGGTGCAGTACTTCAGGCCACTTTAGCTGACTGTTATCTGCAGTTCAGCGGTTCTGAGGTTGACTCAGCCTTCCATCCTTCCGAGGTGGGTGAAATGAGGGCCCAGACTGTGGGGGCGATATGCTGACTCTGTAAACCACTTAGAGAGGGCTGAAAGCCCTATGAAGCGGTATATAAATCTAACTGCTATTGCTATTGGTATGTATTAATATGCTCTATGCAGGTTCTGGTGCCTTATTGATACTAAGTAAAGCACGAGGTGGCGCAGTGGTTAAATGCAGCACTGCAGGCTGACTGCTAGATCAGCAGCTCAGCGGTTCAAATCTCACCGGCTCAGGGTTGACTCAGCCTTCCATCCTTCCGAGGTGGGTAAAATGAGGACCCAGATTGTTGTTGGGGGCAATATGCTGACTCTGTAAACCACTTAGAGAGGGCTGAAAGCCCTATGAAGCGGTATATAAGCCTAACTGCTACAAGATACTAAATTTCTAGGATTTATTTAAAATGTAGAGATTATATTGGGATGTTTTATATAGCTTTGATATGCACAATTCTCTATGCAAGTTCCAAGAATGGCAAATAACAAAATGTGCTTTGTGAAGTACAAACATCACTCTTTTTGCACTTGTGTTACAATATTATGTGCAAGCCACAAAGTACTTTTTTTCTCATTTTTATGAAATTTCAGCTTGCTACAAGACACCCTAGGGATACTGTTGTGCCTTGTTTTAATGTTATTCATATAGTTAAGAAGCACCATCCCCTTTTATATGCAGCCAGAGGCTATTCATATGTCCAAGCAGAAGGATCAGTAATGAGCACCCTAGTTGCTTCGTGCCTGGCAGGCAGGTTAAAAGAAAAGACCCAAATGTGCTGCATGATATTGCTAAGTAGGTAAGGTAGCAGTGCCTAGAGAGAAAAAAATGGCTAAGAAAATGATTTTTTTTTTTAAAAAAAAGAACATAAAGAAAGCTTCACAGAAGTGGAAGTACAATTTATGCTTGCCTGCTTATTTGTCTTCTAGCTTGGAGAGGCATATTTGAAAGTAATATGAAAGAAATGGGTTCTTTTACTCTACATTATGCAACCAAGTTCTCTAGGGAAGGTGGAAGGAAAGTGGAGATGAGAATGAACAGCAGTAAAGTGGACAGACTCAGTTACAGGAATATGAGTGCACCCATTTACTTAGAAGGAAGAACATGGACAAGGTAGGCCAAGAACTGTAGAAATTAGTAGTGGACCTCCCCCCTCCTCCCCCCAAAACAAATTCAACAAGATCTGTGCTTTCATTGCAAAAATATCCCTGAATATTTTTCCCTGCAGATGTAACGGTAACAATCAGTTCAGTAGAATTGTGTAATATTTGGAAGCTAGGAAAACTATTCCTTTTTGACTAACTTCCAGGTTAGCACTTCTAACGAGGAACCTACTGTACCTATGGAAGTCCTAATTCATTCAATCAGTTTTCTTTGAAAGTTGCTGTTAAGCATGTCATTTGAGTTCATTGAGGACATAATTGTGAGCTCTCTAGCTCCTTCTTGACTCTGAGAAAATTCAATAGTTCAAGTCCAGAACTGCTAAGTTCTTGCTGTAACTCTGGCCATGGATCACTACTCCCACTAAGAATGGGTCAAATTCATATTCCCTTTCATTTGTATTCTATGTTGTACACTCATCATCATTATCATCAATCATTATCATAATCATCATCACCTTCCTTTGAGAAAAGAGATTCCTATATTTTTCCACTGGTTGTTATTCCAATACTTTGGTTTTCACTCCATAGTTAGCTTTTCAGTTATGTAAAACCCAGGAGATCTCTCATATTTCCATTAAATCATGAGCGAAGATACTTTAAGCAACCTTAGAAACAATGAAGATACTGCAACTGATAAGTGGATATCTTCCTATGAGAAATTATCTGAGAATTTCTCCCTGTCAGCCTCTGCTTTGCTGCTGCTTCGGCTGCCATTGAAACAGGGAGGGAGGGCATGGTATTTGGGAGGGGACTGATCGTTGTGCTGGAGGAAGATTCTGGAGTTTCTACTGCCCGTCTTGCTGCGCATGCGGGGGAGGTTTCCCGCCAAGGCCAACGGCACCGACATTCCATCTTGGTGATGCCTTTCGAAGTTATCTCG